GTTCACCACGGTTAGCAGCGATGTGCAGTGTTCTGCCGCAGCCAGTAGTCTGTTACCCGTAGTCCGTAACCTGGTCTTCAATCCGCCCCACAAGGACTGCTGCTAGCCGATTGCTCAATCAGCCGCAGACAGCTTGCTTCTCTGCGAGTTCACCAGCCAACGGATTGGCCTGCAGCCTGCACTCCTTGCTCCACCAGCTGATCCCCACACCCGCCAGCAGGCGGCTCTCTTCCCCTTACTCCCACAGCTCTCGAGCCCTGCCCGTTCGCCCGCTGTCGTCGCTCAGTCCTCAATGGCTGGCAGACAGTGGCATCCCTCCCTGCTCGGTGCTCAGGGACGTGACCTCTCTCTCTCTCTCTCTCTTACCTGTGCCACACTCCAATTCACCCGTCTGCTCGCTGCCTCCCCACTACTTCTCTCTTGAAGTCGAATGGATCGACTGGCCAGGCCAGGCCAGATGCATTGTACCCAAGACGCAAAACTCGGTGCGGCTCCTACTCACACACGCAGACCAACGAGTATATCCCAAAACCTCCCGCGGCTAACTCCCTATTACTGCTCGATGGAAACGAACAAAATCGAATGATCTTCTCCGTTGGGTCACGGAAAGTTACACTGTTAAATTTAAAATTCTGCTTCCTCACCCACTCCCCTTGTTTCCAACCTCACCGCTGTCTTCGTGGCCTCCCGTTGTTCGCTTTAGTAAGGATTGAATGAACCCACCACTAGAACGTGGGCGGATACACCCTCCCGCTAAAACGCTCTCCTTCCTCACCCAGCCTCCGCGCAACGCCCCGCCATCTACACCGCTCCAACTCCTAATCTGCCTTCGCCCCCATACTCGCCTCACCCCAAAGCCTTGGTATAGGGTTTTCTCACGTCAGAATCGGCCAGACAGCGACCGAAATCCCGTCATTCCCACCTTCCTCTGCCATAGCTCGACGCCCCCCCCTTTCTCTTCTTTCGCCTAACCGCTAATTCTAACATTGAATCTAACCCGGCTATCACACTCGCATGCCCACAAATCCCCCAAACAGCCACTTTCCCAGCTTGATTCCGTCACGGATCGACCGGGCTGAGCTCTCCCAACTGCGCCCTACTCCCTCCTCCCGTAACTCCGCATTCACTAGATCGCGACCCCCATCCGAGTTCGTCCACTGCCTCTCTCCGTCCCAGTTGGCTCCCTTGGTGTCGTCATCCGCTACGCTCCCCCGCTGCCTCCTTACTGTCTCATCCCCCGTTCATCCGCGGCCCGGCTACCTCGCTCCGCCGCTCGTCACCCCTTTCCTTCACCTCCGAATATACCCGACACGATTCGCCGTTCGTGTTCATCCCCGTTCCTTACTGTGTTGCCGCCAACAAAAACCCGACACCGCGCTGCGTGGCACCGCCCGATTCCCGCACACACAAAAAAAACTCCCAACCACCGAAGCTGCCCTTACTTATGCGGCCCGCCCGCCCGCCCGGGCCACACTTCCTTCCCCGGCGTTGCCAGATCTCCCACCAACACCCCAGTGATACGGCCGGGGCGATGCCCCGTAGCGGTAGTAAAAGCCGCCCGGCCTCCTCGATCTCGGCCTACTAGTGGGTAGGGGGTGGGGCAGACACCGTCCCCCCCCTTTTTGCACGCACCTTTCCCCATCTACGTCCGGGTTCGTCAGGAGTCGGGCCGACCTTCTCTGTATCATTCTGATTCTAACGTATGTCGCGACGGACCCGACCGCGGTAATGCACCCCGGCGTTCCCAAAGGTCGTTTCGCCTCCCTAACCCCCGCTCCGTCGGCATGAGAGGGTGTGGCCCCTGCCCCTTTTGCTTTCCACCTTTATCTGGCCCCATTGGCGCCCGGGTTCACCCTCCGGCCTCCCACACCGCTCCATGTAACGGCATCCGCCATTCCGACAGCCCTCAGCCGCGGTCCCGCCCCCACTCCGATCTACACATATCCTCTGCTTACGGGGCCGTGCTAACACTCCCCTGTGGCTCACCAGGGTCTGAACTACCAGCCGCGGTATCACGCCCTAAGCCCAAAATAGGCCCACAAATAAAAAGGAAAGACAAAAATAAAACAAAATATCTTAAACAAAACCCCCACTAACAAAACCAGAGGGGGATAGCCCGGCCGGGCCCTCAACCCCTCGGTTTCCTCCACCGCCACAGCTGCTGCGTTGACGTCCGCTGGCCTCGATCCTTGAATCCCAGTAGTAGTAGTCCGCCACCGTAACCTATAGGGCTATGCCCCAGCCTGGCGCCATGAAGCGCGAACTTGGATATGAAGTGATACCACGCCGTGCCTAGGCCTGGAAACAGCAGCCTGGGCCTTCCTCTCCTAGCCGCGGCCGGCGTGCCAACGCCAGGCACCCACGCCGGCTTACTTGGACCCCGCTGTGGCCGCCCCGTATGCCTACCGGCGTGCCAGTCCTACCATCGGTCGCGCACGCCAACAAAACCGAGTCTTCACCCCCTAAACAACCCGTAGCGCGGTCCAGGTCGGTCGACTAGACCGGCCGCTCACTCAATCAGAAAAATCACACGCGCGCCTTAAAACTGCGTGCCCACATACCCCCTTACTTAGTCGGGATGGACCCCGAACGAGGTCGTGCCTCGCACGACTTACTTCAACTAAACCCATTTTTTCTGTCGATTGCGAAAACCAGGGCGGATACCCTTGTAAGGGTATTCGCGCCGACAGCCTACCGGACTATATTAAGCGACGTCCCCGTCGCTACGCCAAATCAAAAGGCTACAAACTCATTCACACTCCAAATGCTGATGAGAGCGGAACCAGTTTCGATTAGCCGACAGACTCAGGGTTGAGGCCTCCAACACTCCATGCCTACATAACTATATGCTATCAGGGTTTCAACTTGGGTTTCCATTGTCCTGACACTAGGACGCAGGTGTACTACGCATCAATATTATAGCATAAGTCCCAAAGGCCACCTCAAACCGTCCTTTCCCCTTCGTCCTAGACAAACGCCGGCTTTTCGTTGGGTGTCCCAGTTAGACTCTCTCTCGCAAGCAGAGTCATACGGGGACGCGGGCCTTAGACGAGACCTCAGAAGGCATTCTCGCCTCCCTCGCGAAAATCCTCACAATCAACATATATATATATATATATATATATATATATATATATATATATATATATATATATATATATCCTCTCAGCTCTTCCTGCCGTCTAGTACAGAAATGCTAGGTCCCCATCCTGGCCCACCATAGTCTGGTTGATCGAGCCAGATCTACGGCCTACCGCATTGTTATCTTAGCGGCAGTCCCTTCATTGGTTATGCAACGATAGGTTTTCTCCTGATAGGCATTCAATCAGGGCGCCCAAACGACTCGACTCGTATCCCCCGCCATTCCACCAGAGTAATCTCCTTGGGGCGTGCATAACCTCTTAAACTCTTACTCTGCTGGTAGACGTGGGCCCGCAGCCATGTTGTGCTGGCCTGCAGCCATCCAATAGGGGTTGCGCCCTAGGGGTGGTAACCTTTACCGTTTAGCTTGGTATTCCCTAGTATGCCTTAGGATTAGCACAGGTGTCTAGGCGGTACGTCGCAAAACAACTCACAGGGCCACTGTGGGACAACGCAGGGATCGGCCCTACTTTTAAGGGTATTTACCAACCCCCTATGGGACAACATAGCGGGCACGGCCCCTTCTCACAATCACAAACAATTTCACCGCTAGGCTCAGACGAGGCTGTGGCCTACTGACTTGATCAGAGACAGCAAACCATACATCCCACGACATCTTTATGCACTGACTTGCGACCTTCTCAGTTCCATTAATGATCCCAACTCGTAACCCTGGTTCCTCTTGTCATACTTTATCATTCAAACATTGCTTACCATGTCCTTAAATCTATCACCCATTTTTCACATGAAGGGGGTCTCTCTCAACAGGTCTCCCAGCCACCCCTCTCTTTACAGGATGGACTATCACGCGACCTGGGTTACACTGCTGTCAATTAACAACATCCCCACCTTCCATAATCCGAGGGGGTCTCAATTATAGAACAATTCAATTGAGGGGCCTTCTTATGGGCCGTCTCCCCAACTTAAACGCCAAACAACTCAAACTAAGGGGCCAACTTATGGGTCCCCTTCACAACTCAACCATAAACATTCAGCATGGTAAGCATCCGAGCCTTATAGGCTCGCAAGACCCCTCCGGGTCCTCATACATCTGTCACAAAAATGACCGCGCTGCCTCCTCTTATACCTGACCGTTCCGCCCGCCCATGGGCAGGCCGCACGAGTATACCGAAGAGTAGACGGCAATCACAATCACACAACACACATACATGAGATGTATCCCACACATCTCTCACATAAAGCCCTCATTCATTAGGATAAAACCATACGAGTGAGAGTGATTGTGATTGTCACGAGTGAGAGTGATTGTGATCGTCACAAGAATAAGTCTCACAGAGTCTGGAATCAAAGATATACTCGGAAGCAAAATATATCCCTCAAGTCTCAATACGACACTCAACTCAAACTCTCAACACACAATTCGTAGGGTGTATTTGGGAACAAAATGCCTGCCCTGAAAACACTCAAATACTCACCCCACTGTCTCACTCTGCAGGATAAACTCACGTCCCAAGTGTCATGGACTCTCAGAACCTACTCAAAGATACAAGTAAGAGTATCCGAATCACCCAATTGAAATGCAAGTCACGTATATCRTAGATATTATACAACTAAGTCTCATCCCCTAGACCGTATCACACATAAAGCTCAAGCYGATCACACACCGCCACTTATGTATATACAACTAGACGGGACTCGCCTGACTAACTCAGAGTATGTACACCCCTATCACGGCCTYTGCGTASAGAGGARCTCTAATCCTATTGTCATATAGACGGACCAGCCCCTACTCACTCATAGCCTCCTGGTTTTGTCTATATAACTGTGCCCTACCCCCATCTGGAGCCCGCTCTACCACTCGCCCTTGCCTGTCGTACATTCTTCCACCACTCTCTGTTACTCTCCCAGCCGCCTTRTCCTTAAGGAACTTCTGGYAYTCAARARCTCTATGTACRYCGTCCTTGCAGAAGAAGCACTGATCGTCTCATCTCCCTCGACACCTCCTCTTCTTCTTCCGGGACCCAGGCAACGGCGGTGTCTCGCTAGTTTCCCTGCTCATCTCATGGCTCTGGGGCATACTCCATGACTCTGCCGGCCCCGCCTCCATCATCTGGGTACTCGGCCCTGCTAGCGCCTCACCTCCCTCGGGCCGGTACGCTGGAGTGTCCAATCTCAGTGGCCTACCCTCGCGGACTCCTCCCATCGCAACCGCCTCCTCGTCCCTATGCCGGTCAGAGGGTTGGGGAGTCACGACAGTCGCTGGCTCGCTCATAACTTCCTGCTGCTGCTCTGAGATGTGCTCTCCTGAGTCAGCTCCAGTAGCCCAAGAGCCTAACTGCGTCCTCAGCTCCCCTATCTCTGTCACACGCTCTGGGGTCTTCTGTCTCTGATGCTCTCCTGACGGCATGTCCAACTCCATAGCTGCCACTAACTCATCCAGTCGAGACGCCTCTCCCCCCATTGCCTCCGGCTCAGTGGATGCTGCTAYTCCCGTAAGGRCACYCSCCTGCACCTCCAAAAGGATCGTAGGGGACTCCTYTGTGKGGCCCCCTTCCTCCACWGGAGGTTGGGGTCCCTGCGCTGGCTCGCCCTCAGGGATCTCAATCGTTATAGGGGTGGCCTGCTRCGAGGCCAAMTYCGYGGGAGTCCTGAAGYTGAACCTCCTCTCCTTGGMCTCCCGCCTCGCTGCCGCCTCTGCTSGGTCCAGGAATACCTTCCCCATTCCCTCTTGCTGTGGCRTCTCCGTCGTTCCTTYCTGGCCAAAGAGCCCCTGTAYCTTCTTCCCCTGGATACCATATCGACTCTGCTCCGTCCAGTCGACCACCTTAGTGGYCGAGAGCCTTTCTAYTATCGCCGYYATGTCCTGAAGCCTCTTCTCCCACTCCGCCTCCTTGGCTTCCATGCGGGTCCTCCACGCCTGGTTTTCTGCCCTCTCTTCCGCCAACTAGGAGGACAACTGTCCCACCTTTAACCTCGAGGCCGCCAACTCATCGCTGAGCATGGAGTACTGCTGGAAGGACGAGATTGCCACCTCACCTATCCTCCTGTCTGTACGCTCCATCTCCATCCTAGCGGCTGAAAATCCCATGTCTTCTGTCTCTCGTGCCTCGTCCAATCTTGCACTCCCCTGTCCTACCTCTCGCGACCTCAGGCGAGMCGCATCCCTCTCGCTCTCATAGCTGGCCCAAGCCTCACTAATCCTCTGCTCGCTCGTCGGAGGGTCAATTGGCGGCTTTGGCGCTTCTCCTGCGGCCTCCATCCTAAGCTTTTCCTGGTATAGCTCTTCGAGGCGTACCTGCACCCTTGCGCGCTTCTCTTCTTTCGTCTCCCCCGGTGGCCTCCGTGTCCTTGCCTCGTGACCCTCTCGCAATATATCTCCCTCACTTGTCCCCTCCTCTGCGGGTGGCGGCCCTGGCGGAGGCTCCCCGGATGTCGGCACCTCCACATCCATGCGTGCACCTGTAAACTCAGTTAGTTGCGGCGCCACAGTAGTAGGTGTCCTCGCCCTCTCGCCCCCCTCTGGCTCCTCCTGCGTCGGGGGTGGCGTAGTAGCTTCCGGTGGGGGCCCCAACATCTCCTCACTGTCCGGCTCAGGAATTCCTTCAAGCCAATATTGCCGCGCCTATTCTGGAATCGGGGTAGGAGGAGGGGTATCATCCCCAACAGTGATAACCCCCCGAGTCTGCGGCTCCTCGGGTTCGCGAGACCCCGCCTCAGGCCCCGGCTCAGGTGGCTCCTCCTCTGGCTCATCCTCCACTGGCTCATACCGTGCCGGTCCGCTCTGGTCCGCTCCCATCTGTGACGCCCCCCACTGGGACGCATCGAGATGAGCCTCCAACCTGTCGAACGGCGTCCTCAACGGCACCGCCCCTCCCCCCTCTGGTAACGTTGGCGACGGACCCCGTAGATCACTGCCCGTGATTCGACGAAACTCCACCTGCTCGAGCCCATAGGTAGGGGGTAGCTCCGCCGCCTGAGCTGGCCCCGCGGCCTGAACTGGCCCTCTGCTGGCCCCTCTCGCTGTGCCGGCCCGCGGCCTGAACTGGCCCTCTGCTGGCCCCTCTCGCTGTGCCAAGGCCTTTCGGCCTCCTCTGGGCGTAGTGGTCCCTCTCGCCTCTGGGCCCTGCGGCCTCTTACTCCTTTGTCGTCTCTCCACCCTGGGCTCCGACCTCTCGGGCTCCAGTCGTCGAAATGCCTGTCTGAACTGGGCCTGGCAGTCCTCCCAGTCGTGTGTCCTGTCCCGGATCTGCCTCGCCAACGACCTCTCCGCCCTCCGTGTCCAGAGGGGCAGCATCTGCATCCACTCCTCCTGCCCAGTCCCCTGGTCGCGCATATACTGCTCATAGGCCGGAATGAACTCCTCCGCATTGCCTTCCTCCAATCGAATAGGCAATCCATCCGGTCCCATCGGCGAAGCCCTCAGCATCTGAATCCTTGCCTCCACATCCTGCTATGTCAACGCCTCCTCTCGAATGTGCGCAATAGGCTCCTCGAAGCGCCCAACTCCCCTCAGGTGCCATATCCTCTCCAAGGTAGACCAGCCCTCCCGTGTCGCATGTGCCTGGTAGGAGTCCAGAAAAAACTATATGTTACCGTCGTCGAAAGTAGGCGTAGACTCCCTCCCAGCCGGTCTGCGCGAGTCATCCCCTCCTGATGCTCCCTGAGGCCCCTATCGTGGCCGCGTGCCCCTCCCGCCCCTCTGCATGGCCGTCTTCGAAAAGTCAGACATGCACAACAGGTGAGAGAAAGCAAGCAGGCACACAACAAGGTTAGTCCTCGGTTCATCAAGTTTTTATAACAATACACATGCCTTTTCCTACTCCCTCACCTGTCCTGACCATAACATGCGATACCTCAAGGACCAGTCTACTCTGAGAAAGGTAGAATTCTTTACTTGTTCCCTGGCCACGAACTTCTTCAGTCTGGTTCCTGATACTCGATCCTGCCAACCTGTCCCGTCCAGCTCCTCGATCTGATAGGCCCCAAATTCGCCGCATCGCAATATTCTATAGGGGTCCAACCATCTCTTGTCAAGCTTCCTCGACCATTGCTTTTCCAAAGAGGAGTCGTATAATAATACGACATCCCCTACTGCCAATGACTCCTTTCTTACTCGTGCCATCTGGTCCCACCTCATCTTATCTTGCATACGACTCCTCTCCACCTGACCAGCGGCTTCTCGCAATCTTTCTTCGGCCGCCCCCACTTGCCGTGCACGAATATCGAGCAGTTCTTCGAAAGACAGGTTTACCTCCAAGTCCTGGCGCCTCCACGTCTTCATAAAGCTTTCTATGGGAAAGGTGGCATGACTCCCGTACCATAGCGTGGTTGGCGTGTACTTGGTAGTCCTCTTTACAGTATCATTCTCCATGAAGAACGCTGCCCGTAGGAACTTCGGCCACTGACCAGGTTTGCCCTCTGTCCACTTAGCCAGGAGATTCGTGATGGTACTGTGGCCCCTCTTCACAGGAACGTTCACTTGAGGGTGTGCGGCCGTAGTATAGTTGTCCACTACGCCGTACCCTACAAGCAATGTCCTCACCTCATTGCAGGTAAACTCTGATCCTCGATCCATCACGAACTCCCTGACAAAAGGGTATCGCAGGTAATACTCCTCGATCCAGTTCGCCAAAACCGGGTCAGTCTTCGTCCGGATAGCTCGTCCGTCCACAAATCCAGTAAGGTTATCCCGTGCATCGAAGATGTAGTTACACCCATTCTCCCCTGCTGGCATGAATAACAGGTCCAGGTGTACGACCGCACCCACTTCCCTTTCTAACCTTGGGTGTAGGGGTTCTCCAGGCCTTTGCGCTGACCTCTCTTGGCAAGGTATACAGGACCGACAGTATTTGATAACCATCGTCAACATCCCGTCCCAATGGTAGAGCTCGCTTATTTTCGCGCATGTGGCACCCACTCCTCTGTGCCCCCCTGCTATACCATTGTGTAAGGCCGCTATGATATCAATTTGCCGGTTTCTCCCACATACAATCCTCTTGGGGTTCCCGACCTGCCACTTTATAAACAAGTGGCCGTCTCTTACCACATAGAGGTGCCTCATCTTCTGTGCGTTGGCACTCACATCTCTATCCCTCATCTCACATGATAGGAGAAACCCCAATTCCCGGTAGATCCCATCGTACTCCTCCGCCCGAAACGCCTCCTTGATTTCTCCTCCCTCGAATTCGTCGTCCCGGCTTTCAGGAACCAGAATCTCATTCTCCTCGTGACTAAATGAGCCCTTTCGGTCGAAGTCTCCTTGCAGGAGTGTATTGGTGAGCAGGTACATCCCTCCCATTAGCTGCTCATGCTCCTCTACCTGAGTGAGGCCCTCCTCCATTGTCCTTACTTCCTCCACCAGACTATGCGTACCTGCCAACGMCAACTTCATCATCCAACCAACATCCTTACTTCCCCACGGATCCTCCTCCTGAAAGGGCTTGAGGACTAACTCTCCCTTCTGCTCGTACCCCTTTGGTGCCAGCCATATGGGGTGGCTGACACAACTGGGCACTCGCAGGGACCATTCGTTTATGTGCAGGCGGACGTCCTCCTCTTGGTCCAAAAACCCATCAACTGGCGGTGTGTCTTCTATCGATTCTTCGTCCGATCCGTCCCAGTTGATGCGGCTTAACCCATCTGCCCTGTTCTTGTTCCCTGAGATCCTTTCCAGCTCGAAATTAAACATCCAAATGTAGGTCAACCATCTTGCGACGGTTGGGTCAGATGGAGTATAATTCTTCAGGGAACATGCCAGTGCAGTAGGGTCCACTCTCAAGATGAGCCTCCTGCCAAAAACATAGTTCCGGAAGGTCCTTAGGCAATGGAGTACCGCCAGCGTCTCCTTCTTGAACTGAGAGTAGTTCCTCTCAGTTGTATTGAGGGTACGACTTTCGAATCTTAG